GTAATGCTGACGCATGCTATAGTGTATGTTGTACAGCGGGTCGGGTGTGCCTGTATAGCTCCCAAATCCCATGAGTGGGCTAATACTCCATTAGGAGTGTTACCAACTTTGATATCATTAATGATTAATGATTAATGATTGATAATCATAACCCTATTGGCCTAACCCTAACCCTAACCTAAATGACATTAAACCACAAACTAATATATGACCATGACCACACAAAAAAACCACATTAAAGTTGGGAACACTCCTAATGGAGCATCACCCCATGAGTGTGCGCGAGCATGAGTGTGTGCGTGCGTGTGCACGTACACGCGCGCGCGTGCGTGCGTCTGCGTGTGTGCACGTATACGTGCGTGCGTGCGTGCGCGCGCGCGTGTGCATGTGCATCTATACGTGCGTGCATTAGTTTTTCGTGCGCCTTTAGATGCCAACCATTTTCAACGATGTTACGATGACATGCTTACCAGCAAACGCTGTGTCAAGTCAGTCACTGTTGCCCACGAATTCAGACTAAGCGAATTCCCAGTGAATGCCCATAATGTAATTCCCTGATTTGTATTTAATGGCCAATAGAGGGAGCGTGCCGCTGCAAATATGAACTGAAACCTGCGGTTTCTACAAGGACGGGCCGTCCGGGGGCACCACTAGTCTAGTATGGGAAGTGTGGTGGAAGACCTGGACGACATCATAGATCGCCCATGCAGTAATGTTCAGGAACTGGAGGAGCTTTGTAAACGACAGGAAGAGGACAATGTTAATTGCTCATAATCGTATCACTTACTACCTCCTACAGCCAATCACGATAATTTTTCGCATGCTGACACTATTCTTTCCTTAATGTTATTCAATACAAGCGAAACCCTGGCAATCATAGTGACATCGAGGAATTAGAATGTTAATGTAGTTAGTACAGTCACATCTCTACTGGTTCTACGTCAGTCAGTTATTTTGTTAGTTCGTAATAGAGAGTGACATATTCATAATATTTTAACATGCGTTCACTCTTTTGCGTATTCTCTTTCTTCGAGGGAAACTATTATCTTTTAATGTAGAACATTACACTTTAACTTGAAGTAACACTTTCGTTAAAATATTGAGAAACGATCTTAGACGTTTTTTAACATACATCTGTGTGTCGATGCGCATCGCATATGCAATGTATGCAGTATTTCAGACTTGACTGCTAGTACTTCGCTCGCTAATGTGTGTACCAACGTGTGCACCTGTCTATAGGTGACCTATATAGGACGTTCTAGAAAATAATAACTACATATAACGAAATTTTAACACAGATATCGAGAACATTTGTGTCGATTTATTACAGATACCATCAAACCATATTCTATGATACAATAACATTTACTACGTACATAAAACACACAGTTGCAGTCACATTTCTGACACACACACACACACACACACACACACACACACACACACACACACACACACACACACACACACACACACACACA